AACTTATTAGATATAAGGAAATATTAACCGCAAATTCAATATGTACAATTGTGAAACGTATGTCTGTATGTATCGGATAGCAGAACCGCGTGACATTGCTCGTGTTAACCGAGTTTACAAGTGTGATGCAAGTCTACATGTCTCGTTTTAGCGGTTAATGATTGTTACACTAAAGTATTAATTCACTGTAAATATGCTGTTTTTAATTAAATCAGATAAACAAGCGTTATTACGTTGTTATAATTTGTTGTACAAAAGTCGATTGCTTGGGTACCTCTGTCCCATTCGTGTTTCAATCGTGAAGCAGCTGTGTTTGCTGGCCGTGTTTCGGTTTGAAGGGTGGGATATGGCAGTGAATTTACTGGGTACAGGGAAAAAACACCTGAGTCCTCAGGAATGGCAACGTATGGGGGGTATTATGGGCGAAACAGTATACTCTGTTGTGTGCATGGTACTGCTCATGTCTATAGGCGACGGTTATCACTTTCCATCAGGTGGGCCGTCAGCTTGTTTGCCATTCTAAGTTGTATATAAAAAAAAGAAGTTAGCCATATAGGTCCCGGCATAGAATAGGCCACCCCTTCCTTTCCTATGGGTGTCGTAAGAGGCGACTAAGGGAGCGGTGTCCTTTTTAAAACATTACCAAAAGCCAAATTGCGGTATATAGGGGGGAAAGGGATTGTTAGTAATGGAGACTAAAAATCCCATTGCTAACAATATACCTAACCAGGTCGACCTCCACGCGGTTCCCCCTGGAAACTGTCATGATTAATTCTTCATGATGAATTCATCATGATAGGCTGACTGGCCTGTTTTCATTCTCATCGATCACCCTTCACTGGTGCTCCGCCAGCGTATCCCGTTAGCGCAGGCGGGGTTACCATACCATTTTCATCCAACAAAAAAAAATTGCGGTATATAACCCACCTGCCTGTCAGAACTCACATTATGGAGAAGTTTGGAGCTATGAGAATCATCGATGATCCACGGCTTACAAGCGGATTTAAATCCTTAAGTATTAGGAGAGATTTTGCCTCACTCTGCGTGTTCTACCGCTTATACAACGGATTGTGCTCAGAGGAATTATTCAATATGATGCCCACGGCCACTTTCTAGCATCGTACGGCTCGCCATCGACAGGAAGTTCACCCTCATATCCTAGAGCCTAGATGGTCGCGTACAACGCGGTTTCAGAGATGTTTCCTCCCACGAGCACTCAGATTATGGAATGAGCTCCCTGCCGAGGTTTTCCCAAGAGACTACAGCATGGGGTTCTTCAAAAGGGTGGAAAGAGGTTTCTTCAGGGTCGGCAACGCGCGCGTAATACCTCTGGTATTGTAAGCGTTCATAGGCTACGGTAACCGTTTACTATAAGGTGGGCCGTATGCTTGATTGCCACCTCAGTGGTATAAAAAAGGCTTATGTTTAGCTGTAGGTAACGGCTGAGATAATAATAAAAAAATAGATATTGTAACTACAATATATATATATATATATATATATATATATATATATATATATATATATATATATATATATATATATATATATATATATATATATTGTTATATATTACCCAACTCTAATTTGAGTTGGGGGAAAGGGATTGTTACAAATGGAGTTTGACAGCCCCATTGCTAACAATATGCCCTATCAGGTCGACCTCCATCCACGTGATTCTCCCTGGAAACCATCGTGAACAACTCTTGTTGATTTCGTCACGATGGGCTAACTGACCTGCTTCATCCTCACTTATCATCCTTCACTGGTACTCCGCCGATGTATACCGATAACGCGGGTGGGGTTACCATTCCATTATCATCCATTAAAAAAAAATTCTAATCTGAGTACCCCATCAGGTGTTACAATTCTAAGCCTTCTTATTTAATTACAACACAAACGACTTACAGAGTGTTTTTAGAGCAAATTAAGTACAAAATTAAGTAGAAGGATTACAATTGTGCTTTCGTAAATAATTTGCAATGTTTTGTGATTATACAAAATTTAATTAAGTTCGTTTTGTAATAAGAATTGCATTCTTGCAATTATTTTTGTCTCTTTCCCTCCGTTTAGCAGCTAAAGATGTGAAGCAGTTGTGTTTGCATGGCTGTGTTTCGGTTTGAAGGGTGGGATATGGCAGTGAGATTACTGGGTACAGAGGAATAACACGTTAAACGTCAAGAATGGTATATTTGCTTACACTGTAGATTACAATTTGTCTTTTTTTTTTAATGGTAAAACTGCAATCAAGATAAAACATACTCCAATTTTTAAGTTAGACGTTTGAAAATTGATGGCTGTGGGAAACGACAGAAAAAAAACATATAGAAAGGTAAACAGACTTGTTTAATTAGCTAAGCTAGGAAATTTCAGACACAAGATTCGTTAGATGCGTCTAATTTGTCCAGATTCGCGAATCTAATCGTGAATTACCCATGTACATTGTGTCTAATGAAGTTATGACGCCATCACGGGTCTCGCAATATTATTTTGAACAATGTTGCTGTCTCAACATCTTAATAAGGGCTTGAGACACCCGTGAGAAGTCAAGATAGCATCGTGTGTTTATGAGTTTTTTTTTTAAGCAATCACTTTAATGATAATGATTTTACATTGTACAAAAATTCTAATAAACATAAAATAAGCTAATTTTTCGTACGTGTTAAACTGTGTCAAAATAGTTAATGCTTTAATTTCCCCATCAATTTTTTTCTTCTGCAATTTTTAAGTATGGAATTATTTATTTAGTACATATATGTGTACATGGCGGACTTAATGCTGAAAGCATTCTCTCCCAGTCAACCGTAGGCAAGTGTCAGAATACACGAATGCGGTACTAGTAATTATTGATATACATACATACATACATACCAGAGGGAGATTTTGTACAAAAGTCGATTGCTTGGACACCTCTGTCCCATTCGTGTTTCTACCGTGAAGCAGTTGTGTTTGTATGGCTGTGTGTCGGTTTGAAGGGTGGGATATGGCGTGAATTTACTGGGTACGGAGGAGTAACACCTGAGTCCTCAGGAATGGCAACGCATGGGGGGTATCATGGGCGAAACAGTATACTCTGTTATGTCCATGGCACTGCTCATGTCTATAGGCGACGGTTACCACTTTCCATCAGGTGGGCTGTTAGCTTGAAGAGATTTTTTTTAATTCCGCTACCATTAGTAAACTAAGTGTGCGACTGTTAACAAATATAATCGTACAAAATACAAAACATGCATGGACTGGATGGCGATCGGTGATTGATGGTTAATATAGAAGGTTGTGGTACTTCTGCTAGTAATGGTGGTGGTCAATCTTCGAGTGTTGGCAGTCGCACACGTACTAATGGTAGCGGAATTAAACAAAACAATTGTAATTAACTAACCAGTGGTATGGTAAAAACGTTCACGCTAACTTTTTTACTTTATCCGAACAGTAAATGCTTTATATTATTCTCAATTTCGTGTATAACATAGTATATGTCATATATGTGTAAGTATATTTGTTATTCATATATATTTATTCGTTTATATATGTAATTTTAGTATGTACGTATATCAATAATTACTAGTACCGCATTCGTGTATTCTGCCACTTGCCTACGGTTGACTGGGAGATAATGCTTTTAGCATTAAGTCCGCCATGTACACATATATGTGCTGATGAAGAAATAAATAAATAAATATGGACTTCCACATGTTAATACCTTAACATGAATCAATAATGTAGTCAATATTAATTGATATCTCACACATTTTGCATAACTACGTCTAATCAATGCCTAATTACACATCAATTACAATTGTATTAGTCTATCTGTGATTTTTTGTTCAACGTATCGGAAACCCTTTGTTCTATCGGCGAATGGAGTTGGCTAAATTTCTCATACACACTCGTAAATGGCATGTTAAAAACTGTATTTCTAGTACAGTAATGCGCTTTGTCTGTCTGTCCATCTGTCAGTATAATAAAAAGGTAGCAATTACATGAGTTAGGTTATTTAAAATGTAATATAAGTGGTTATTTGGTGGACACAGATATAGATTGTCCATGATAACGTGGCACGCCCCTCAAAAATCTAAAGAATTGAAAATGTGCAGTCAAAAAATATACAATTAGCTCGCTTCTGCCATTTTATGCGTAATTTATAAAAAAAATATTATCATTCGGCACTCCTTCTCTATATAAACTGTAAGTGTATCAAATTTCATACTCCTCCGTCCGCGCAATTTTAGTAAAAAGGGCTACAAAGTTTTTGCTTCACATATTAATATATCTTATATACAAAACTCTCGTGTCGCGGTGTTTGTTACCAAACTCCTCCGAAACGGCTTTACCGATTCTTATAAAATTTTGTGTGCATATCGAGTAGGTCTGAGAATCGGCCAACATCTATTTTTCATACCCCTCAATCATAAGGGTGACCCACCCCTAAATATTTGTTTTATTTTTTGACAAAATTTTTTATTTTAATTTTGTTATGATTTATCATTGAAAAATACATACAAATTCAAATTTTCACGCTTTTACTATCAACCCCTGTTTTTTAATCGTGATTTATATATGCCGTAATAGGGTTGCAAGGGAGGGAAAGGGATTGTTAGTAATGGAGACTGAGAATCCTATTGCTAGCAATGTACCCAACCAGGTCGACCTCCTCGTGGTTCTAGTAATAGTAATAGTTTCCAGGGAGAACCGCGAGGAGGTCGACATGGTTAATTCCTGATGAATTCATCATGATGGGTTAACTGGCCTGTTTTCATTCTCATCTATCACCCTTCACTGGTGCTCCGCCAGTATGACCATACCATTTTCACCCATCAAAAAATAGGGCTGCAAGATGACAATCGAATATAACAATTGTAGTACAAGAAATTTTCATGTATAGTTCTCGAAATAATGTATATGGTAAAACAACGTTTGCCGAGTCAGCTAATAAATATATATATGCCTCTTGGATTATGTAGATAAGTCAAAAACGTTATTGACATAATAATTTGTTACAGACATAGAAATTCACCAAGATGTCCCAACAGACCCGCCTGTCCAGTGTCCGGATGTGTTCCATCGGCTGCATCGCTATATTATTATATGTAATCGACAGATCCCTTGCTGTTAGTAAGCCTTTTTTTATTATTATTATATCTATTTATTCATTTATTTCTTATTATACATTTATATACATAATATAAGAGTTGTTACAATGTTCTTATGTTTGTTTGTTTTGCCATTCCTGAGGACTCGGGTGTTATTCCTCTGTACCCTGTAAATCCACTGCCAAATCCCACCCTTCAAACCGAAACACAGCCATGCAAACACAACTGCTTCACGGTAGAAACACGAGTGGGACAGAGGTGGCCAAGCAAACGGCTTTTGTGTGGTATTATGACATGAGAGGTACTATAGGCGTCGCAGTGTTATTCTATGCTTTCCACGGTATTGCTCATGTCTATAGGCGACGGTTATCACTTTCCATCAGGTGGGCTCTTCAGTTTGTTTGCCATTCTAAGTTGTATAAAAAAAAAATATATACTTATACTATATTTTTAAATGTGTGTGTGTGTGTATGTGTGAGCGTCTTTAAATGGGTATATGTATATTAATTAATAATTAATTATATGTATATGTATATATACACAAGGTCTTCCTCTGGTAATTAGCTAGATCCCCTGAAGATGTCATGCGATACCGCAACGGTGATAATGTCACAAAGGTGTCCTGAATCACTCACAATTACATAGTTATGAATTATTAACCCGCCAATTATCGGATTGTGAAGAGATGCATGGCGGCATGCAACGGTGGTAATTCAAAATGATTGCCGGTAATTATCATTAATTAGTTAAATCAAATAGATTATTGATGTACTTGACATATTAGGGTTCACTAAGCAATCGTACCATGTTCATGGTACTGCTCATGTTTATAGGCGACGGTTACCACTTTCCATCAGGTGGGACGTCAGCTTGTTTGCCATTCTAAGTTGTAGAAAAAAAAAATGACCAGAAGGGTGGTTTGTACACGCCATGCTCCTATATGCGGATGATGAGACATAGTGATATATTTTTTTTAATGCATGATAATGGAATGGTAACCCCACCTGCGCTATCAGTATACGCTGGCGGGACACCAGTGAGGGATGATAGGTGAGAAAGAAAGCAAATTAGTTGGCACATCGTGACGAATTCGACAAGAATTAACCATGATGGTTTCCAGGGGGAACCGCGTGCAGGTCGACCTGATAGGGTATATTGCTAGTAATAGAGTTATTAGACCTTATTATAATCCCATTACCTCTTCTTACATGTCAAAAAGAGGCATTTTAGGTTTTCTTTTCTACCGAGGTTTTCCCAAAAGACTACAGCATGGGGTTCTTCAAAAGAGGGGTGAAGAGGTTTCTTCAGGGTCGGCAACGCGCGCGTAATGCCCCTTGTATTGCAGGCGTTCATAGGCTACGGTAACCGCTTACCATCAGGTGGGCCGTACGTTTGTTTGCCACCTCATTGCTATAAAACAAAAATCCTCAATATGTCCGCAGCAACTGGACGGCTACGTACCTGGTGAAGACTATCCAGTGTTCACCGAGGTTCCCAAGGGTCTCTCCTTCACCTGTAATGACAAGATACCAGGATATTACGCCGATACGGAAACCATGTGCCAGGTACTTGGAAAATTCAAACCTATATCCTCCTTCTTTTTATGAAATTGGTTTTTTAATGGATGATAATGGAATGGTAACCCCGCCTGCGCTATCGGTATACACCGGCGGGGCACCAGTGATGGATGATAAATGAAGATGAAGCAGGTCAGTTAGCCTATCGTGACGGATTCAACATGAAGTGTTCACGATGGTTTCCAGGGGGAACCACGTGGAGTTCGACCTGTTAGGGCATAATGCTAGCTATGGGGCTGTCAAACTCCATTGCTAACAATCCATTTCCCCCCAAGAATGATATTATTACGCCCAATATAATAATGGATGTGATTAAACATTGTTAAGAATTCTTTTGTCCGTCTGTCTTTATAGTTTAATAGGGTATGTAGAGGTGTAGATATATATATATATATATATATATATATATATATATATATATATATATATATATATATATATATAAATATATATATATATATATAAATTTTTCACCGTACCTCCCATCAAACTGTTTATAATTACTCCTCTCCATCCAAAGGTTGCCTGGAAAAAATCGCTCTTAGCGATAAGGTCGCCCATTGTTTTCTCACTGCGATTATTTCTTGTAATTGTTTATATTTATAATAAGTTTACTATTGTAATCTTTTGGAGGAAACAATAAAGAGTATCTATCTATCTATAAATGTGTAAAATTTAGATGTCCCAAAATAATATTATGTTTACGCATGTCCTTCCATTCAGGTCTGGCATTGGTGCGTGCCCAGCATTGGTGGGAATGTTATGTACTCCTTTGTCTGCGCCCCTGGGACCGTCTTCAACCAGAGGTTGAGGGTATGCGACTGGTTCTACAAGGTGAGTTTTCTTTTTATTATATAGACAGATAGATAGATAGATAATTTATTTTCATTACTTACAGCACACAAACAGCAATAGACACAAATGCACAGTGAAAAAAGATAAAAAAAAAGATACATGTACAAAAAATAAAAAAAAAAACAAAAACAAAATGCATAAAATAAGTAACAATTTTTCCCCTTCACGCGTGTGCCATAGTAACACAAAATGGCCACAACTCAGTTTATTGCTTTGCCCTCAAAAGAGCAAAACACTGATATTCTGTTGTGGCTAAAAGTGAGCCGAGAAATTCTACTGAAAAAAAAAATAATAACAAAAAAAAGAAATATAGATAAAATACATTATGTGTGTTCGTTACATAGTGGGAAAATGATGTCCGGGCCATGTGGTCCAGGCATAGAATAGGCCACCCCTTCCTTTCCCATAGGCGTCGTAAGAGATGACTAAGGAACGGCAGCAGCTTCCCTCTTAAAACATCTCTAAAGCCTGACTGCGGCTGCCAATCCGCCTGCCAAGCGTGGCAACTACTGGCAAAACTCCCAAGGGGGAGGCTGATGTTCAGCAATGGACGGTTAAAGGCTGATATGATGAAACAATGCCCATGGCCACTTCTTACCATCGATAGGGAGTTCACTCCCATACCTTAGAGCCTGGATGATTATGTACAGCGCGGTTTCAGAGATGTTTCCTCCCACGGACACTCAGGTTATGGCATGAGCTCCCTGTCGAGTTTTTCCAAGAAACTACAGTATGGGATTCTTCCACAAAGGTTTCTCCAAGGTCGGTATCGCGCACGTAATGCCCCTGGTATTGCAGGCGATCGTAGGCTACGGTAACCACTTGTTTGCCTCCTCATTGGTATGAAACAGACACGAGCATGCGGCCAACAGTGGACAGTTAACGGGTGGTTTGATGATATATATGACAGAGGCAAGAAAGAGGGGGAGGGCATTCCATGCCGGGTCTGCAGGTATATATATATATATACTCGTATATATATATATATCTCCAGTAATAATAATTTTTTTTTGACGGGTGGAAATGGTATGGTAACCTCGCCTGCGCTAACGTGATACGCTGGCGGAGCACCAGTGAAGGGTGATAGATGAGAATGAAAACAGGCCAGTCAGCCCATCATGATGAATTCATCAGGAGTTAACCATGACAGTTTCCAGGGAGAACCGCGAGGAGGTCGACCTGGTTGGGTATATTGCTAGCAATGGGATTCTCAGCCTCCATTACTAACAATCCCTTTCCCCCCAATAATAATATTATATGTTCGGTTTCAGGTGGACTGCCCTAATTCACCAGGATATTACGGCATCAACGAGGATTTATACAAAGATGAAGCGGGCAACTACATCGCTGGGAAAAAGTAGTTCATTTTTCATTACACCTAAGTAGCTAGATTGTTCTATTCATAGATCAAACACCTTTAGATGAAGTGTGCCAATATAAACGCTTTGCTATAAAAACAGTCAAACTTTTTTATTATTATATGCCTGATTAAGGGGACCAAATTTGAATAAAAATTAATACGTGGAAGAATTGTATATAATAACAACTTTATAACTATTTATTTAATAAAAAATAAAAAAACTATAAAATTTTTAAGAATAAGGTAGAGTGAACATTATGACTCAAAAAGATTTTTTTGCGATTACTGTAATTAACATTTGGCAATATGTATTTATTTATTATCAAAATCAGTAAAAATAACCGCCATTTTAATTCATGCTGTATGAGAAAAATAATTCTCAATTTGTACGAAAAAGTTGATTGACTGGTAGAGAATGCTACCAGCATTCACTCAGCCTCTTGTCCGATATCTTTATTTGGTCAATAAAGATATATAAATAAATAAATTTCCGCCTAATTTGAACAAATTTTAATTGTATGACGTTCGAAAATGACGAAGATAGTTATGTTTTAAAAAAATATGCGTCAACCGACAGTTGTCGTTGCCTATTTAGTGGAACGTTTTATTACTCGTTACTCCATCCAGAGGCGTGTGATCTATGGCTGCATTGTACTTAAGTAGTTAGAACCTAAACAAGTCATTGTATACAAATCGGTAGGTACTTTTGTAAATTTATTTCATTTTTTGAGCACTGCACTAATATTGTTGGAAATTAGAACAACCAATGGCTCTAATTATTAGGGTTTCGTAGGCATATTTCAAATTTTTCATTGCACTTTACACTTCTACAATTTATTGTTTATTGCCCACAGAAAACAATTTACAGATAAAAAATCTTTAATCTTTATAAATTAGTGTAAAACCATGATACATTTAATCAGTTTCAATCTAATATAATATACATTTTACCAGAGGGAGACTTTGTACAAAAGTCGTTTGCTTGGCCACCTCTGTCCCATTCGTGTTTCAACCGTGAAGCAGTTGTGTTTGCATGGCTGTGTTGCGGTTTGAAGGGTGGGATATGACAGTGCATTTACAGGGTACAGAGGAATAACACCTGAGTCCTCAGGAATGGCAACGCATGGGGGGTATCATGAGCGAAACAGTATACTCTGTTATGTCCATGATACTGCTCATGTCTATAGGCGACGGTTACCACTTGCCATCAGGTGGGCCGTCAGATTGTTTGCTATTTCTAAGTTGCATAAAAAATATTTTAGGTACATCTTTCCAAATTTAATGATTCTAAGTCAATGGAAAGCGATAGGCAAAAAACTTTTTGATAGGGCAGAAGTCATATTTAAGCGGGTTTGAAACAGCGAATCTATCTAATTTTCTTAGGACCGAAATGAGCTAAATTTTTAATAGATATAATTCGAAATTATCATAAATTCCGTCTATAATGGTCCATAAAAAAGTAATTTCAAGAAATTTTCAATTTAAAATAGATAGATAGGTACTTTTTATAGTTTCGCCCCAAGAATTCCTCGCAACAAGAGTTCTTAGGTATACCCGCCTATGCTTAAGGTATAAAAAAAAGGTATAAAGCGGGGCACCAGTACAAGATGTAATGCTGAGGATAAAGGCCAGTCGGCCTGTCGTGGCAATTTCAACAGTAATAAACCACGATGGTTTCCAGATGGTAGCATAGAAAATTCGACCTTACGGTGTATGTTTTTATATGATAACGGAACGGTAGTCCTAACGGTATACACTGGGGGGAAAGGGATTTTTAGTAATGGAGACTGAGAATCCCATTGCTAACAATATACCCAGCCAGGTCTACCTCCACGCGGTTCTCCCTGGCAACTATCATGTTTAATTCTTGTTGAATTCATCATGGTGGGCCAACTGACCTGCATTTGTTTTCACATATCATCTTCCACTGGTGCCCCGCCGGTATATACCGATAGCGCGGGCGGGGTTACCATTACATTTTCACTCATTAAAAAAAATAGTATACACTGGCGGGGCACCAGTGAGAGATGATAGGTGACAATAAAAAGGCAGGTCAGTTAGCCCATCGTGATGAATACACCTGGCATTCGGCACGATGGTCTCCAAAGGGGGCCGCGTGGAGGTCGACCTGACAGATTATATAAGTAATTATTGGTTTAGCATGTTGTACAAATTTTGTATGATATTTGGTTTATATAATTGTCATATACTTATGGAAATGTATTTTTTAAGAAATTACCTATTTTATGGTCGCCGTGACATAGTTAGTTACCAATGAAAATATGATAAAATTTTATACATAAGTACAGAAAATAAAAATAAAAAAAAAATATATGTATTTGTCTTTGATTTTTTTTTTTTTTTGTTTATCGATGGAGGAGTCGAATTTCTGGAACTGGCGTGCATGCATGAGACTAACTATGTCTTTAAGCAGGTATTCTAAACTCTTTTTGGAAGGTAGGGGCCTCGGGGCAGTCACTCTATTTTTTTTTTGATGTGTGAAAATGGTATGGTAACCCCGCCTGCGCTAATGGGATACGCTGGCGGAGCACCAGTGAAGGGTGATAGATGAGAATGAAAACAGGCCAGTTAGCCCATCATGATGAATTCATCAGGAATTAACCATGATAGTTTCCAGGGGGAACCGCGAGGACGTCGACCTGGTTGGGTATATTGCTAGCAATGGGATTCTCAGTCTCCATTACTAACAATCCCTTTCCCCCTAAGTCACTCTATTGTAGTGAGTAGAATGTGGGGGCCTCAGGGCCGACCTCTTTGCCTCAGTATCAACTTTTGGGGGAACTACCCTAGGTCACTGGGGTCTAAGTCACTCTATTATAATGATTGGAAAGTGGGGACCTCAGGGCAGATAACTTTGCCTCAGCGTCAACTCCGGGAGCAATCCCTGGATCACTGAGTCAGTCGCTCTACTGCAGTGAGGTGTGATCATCTTTGTTGCGTGGGCTTCATGTTGGGTGGCGGGAGTTCTTCTCTCGTCTCCTTTGGTGTTAACGTATTTTTTTTTTTATAATTATATATAAATAAACATAGATGTCGCTGGAAGAGAACTCTTTTAGAGTTAAGCTCGCCTTTGTACATTTAGCGTGAATTTACTGGGTACAGAGGAATAACACCCGAGCCCTCAGGAATGGCAACGCATGGGGGGTATCATGGGCGAAACAGTATACTCTGTTATGTCCATGGTACTGCTCATGTCTATAGGCGACGGTTACCACTCCCCATCAAGTGGGCCGTCAGCTTGTTTGCCATTCTAAGTTCTAAGTCTAAAAAAAAAATGTTAATTAAAAAAAAATATACAAATTATGTGTAGTTTGCGAAGCTATTTGGACGGATACAATATACCACCTTCCATAAGACTGATCGCCACTAAGTCTAGCATCAAAATTAATTTATAAAAATTCTTAATTGAGAGGCAAAAATTAGATATTTCAACAAGTTACCTCTATGTTCCATTTGTCTGCTAGATAGACTGTCGTATCTGTCTGTTTACTGTATGGATAATGTGGTAGTATTGTTTTATTGTCACCCTATTCCCTTTGGCCGCGACAGAATATCAGTGCTTTGCTCTTTTGAGGGCGAAGCAATAAACTGAGTTGTGGCCATTTTGTATTGTTATGGCACACGCACAAAAGGAAAAATTGTACTCGGCTTTATGTATTTTTTTTTAATCATTTCTCTTATTTAGTTTTTTATGTATATCTGTGTCTGTTACAATTTGTGTGCTGTAATGCAAATAAATTATCTATCTATCTATCTATTTATCTACCATGTCACCACGTTATTTTTACTCTGCACACGTACGAAGACGGGGCGGGTCGCTAGTATTAGATATAATGCAATGTATACACACATATGTAGCACAATTTATGGGATGATAATGTAATGGCAACCCTGTTTATACCAAACCTAAAAGCAGAACTGGATAGACCAAATTTTTTGTAGAATGGTAACCCCGCCTGAGCTAGTGAGAGATGATAGGTGAGGATGAAAGCAGGTTACTTAGACCATTGTGGAAAATTCCGCAAGAATTAACCATGGTGGTTTTTTTTTAACGGGTGTTAATGAAATAGTAACCTTGCCTGTGCTATTGGTTTATACTGGCGGGGCACCAGTGAAGGAAGATAGGTGAGGATGAAGCAAATCAGTTAGCCCATCGTGACGAATTCAACGATAAATTAATCACGATAATTTCCAGAGAAAACCGCGCGGAGGTCGACCTGATAGGGAATATTGAATAAAAACGGGGACTTACCTCATTATTACTAACAATCCCTTCCCCCAACCATGGTGATTTTGCAGGGAGAACCGCATGGAAGTCGACCTGATAGGGTATATTGCTAGTAATGGAGGTGATAAATCCCTTTTACTAACAATCCCTTTCCCCTATTTGTTTAGTACAAGCAGAGTAACCTCGCCTGCGCTTATGGTATACACTGGCGGGGCACCAGTGAGGGATGATAGGTGAGGATAAAAAGGCAGGTCAGTTAGCCCATCGTGACGAATACACCTAGAATTCAGCACGACGGTTTCCAGGTGAACTATGTGAAGGTAAAATGGGGATGCGTTACCCCATTACTTATAACCATTTTTCCTTATATTTGTCGAGTAATAATGCTATTATTTACAGGGGCAACTCATTCAATAGTGAATACAACAGACGCAGACTGTCCGCTAGAAGGAAACGCCATGAACTGACAAGGAAAGTCCACAAATCGCATTAAAATAACATAGTTTCTTTTATCAGCCGTTAACTGTCCACTGCTGAATGTAGGTCTCCCAATAAGGAGGGGGGGGGGGGGGTGGCCAGTAGTTGCCACACTTGGCAGGCGGGTTGGCAAGCGCAGTTAAGCTTTGGTGATATTTTAAGAGGGATGCTGCTTCATCCCTCGACGATTAAGTTCCTTTATTTGCCTCTTGCGACATCCAAAAAAGTGTTGGACTCCTTTATGGACAACTTTATAGAGTACTTAATACTGGTGGTTGTTTTTAGACATGTCTAATATCAGAGGGAGACTTTGTACAAAAGTCGATTGCTTGAGTACCTCTGTGCCATTCGTGTTTCAACCGTGAAGCAGTTGTGTTCACATGGCTGTGTTTCGGTTTGAAGGGTGTGATATGGCGTGAATTTACTGGGTACGAAGGAATAACACCTGAGTCCTCAGGAATGGCAACGCATGGGGGGGTATCATGGGTGAAACAGTCTGTTATGTCCATGGTACTGCTCATGATGTAATGTATATATATATATATATATATATATATATATATATATATATATATATATATATATATATATATATATATATATTTATTGGGTTCCCGTGAGCCGTTTGTCAAGTCAGAACCCATTTTAATAACACAAGCCTCTATTAATCTAATAATTACGATCATTTAAATCAGGTTCTGAATTCAGACTGTGTTTTGATGTTAAATTAAATTAAAGAATAAAATAAAATAAATTTAACATATTAAATTTGTTAATACACTTTGTTATGTTAGTAAAAAAGCCGAGAACAATATGTGTGTTTGTTATTGTTAATAAATAGCGTCTTAATGAGAGATGAGAAATTGCAATGCTTAATTATTTATTTTATTTTTTAATAAATTTGAATTATAATTTGAGCAGAAGATGAATGAAGAATTCGTGTGTAAATTTTTGTTATTTTTTTACATTTAATATGCAATGCAATAAGCGATGAAATCAATTTACAAACATGTTTTATGTTTATAACTTGGATAGAGGATATTGCGTGTGTTAATGAACACTCAAGATGAAATTACTCAAATATAATTCAAAGAGATATTATTTGGTTGTTAGTTTGTTTATTGATAACTAACCAGATAGATATTTAAATAAAAAAATAAATTATTTTTAATTTTCATTTTTCTGTTTTGGTGTAAATTAAAAGCGTTTAATTGTATCTTGTTTGCGGATTTAGCGTGACTGAAGAGTCAGGATCTCTTATAATCAGGAGCAGTTCATAAAATCAACAGAGAATGTATTGTATTCAATAAAATCTGACTTATGTGACGTCTTGGGTGACATTTTATTATAAGCTACGATTGTAAGTTACGACATCAAGTACATATAACGCCTGACAAAAATTGAATAGCAATAATTTACTGTACTAAAATTATTTTCTTTAAAATTTAGGCGCTTATCTTTTAACATTCGCGTAAAATATTTATAGTTATAATAATTAACATTTTAAATAAAAAAGGACAATAAAATGATTTTTACTGGCTACTTGTTTCATTACAGTTCCCGAATTCATAAATTAACACCTTCAAAATAAAAGGTATAATTATATATATTTTATTTGGTTCGAATTGCAAATAAAATGACAGCTCACTTCATGGAAAATGGTAACCGTTGCCTGATATTAATCCCACATGTATTACCATTCCCAAAGATTAAGATGTTATAATGCCATCTATGTTCGAATTAAAATTCAATGAAATCACATTTGTTTAATGGCAGAAACATGAATAGGATGCAATTGGATGACTTTTCTTTGGACGATTGAGAGACTTGTTCATTTTTTAATAATGTTGATTAAATATGTCTGTATAAATTAATAAATTTATGAAATTGTAAGTAAAATAAGTATTAATATTATAATAATATTGTGAACACTAATCATACCTATTAATACTATGTATATACTGGGGGGAAAGAGATTGTTAGTAATGGAGACTGAGAATCCCATTGCTAGCAATATACCCAACCAGGTCGACCTCCTCGCGGTTCCCCCTGCAAACTATCATGGTTAATACCTGATGAATTCATCATGATGGGCTAACTGGCCTGTTTTCATTCTCATCTATCACCCTTCACTGGTGCTCCGCCAGCGTATCCCGTTAGCGCAGGCGGGGTTACCATACCATTTTCACCCATAAAAAAAACTATATATACCTATATATCAAGTTAAATTAAGCGTATTAATTGACGTGCAATTGTATTTGATATATTTATTTTATAAGGATTTATTTCAAAACTTAATTCAAACAATATTTATGTAATTTAAATTTTCCATACCTAATTACGGCTAAAATGTGTAGACATATATCTATTTTAACATATTACTTGCAATATTTACTCACAATTACATATTTATTCATTCATTCTGTGGGCGACAAAGGAAACCAGGAATGGAAATTGGAAATATGTATATAATAGTCAAAGGAACTTAGAAGACTGGGGCCGTGAAGGCAAGCCAAAAGGAAACAATAGATACGCGTGTCAATTTCGAATTTGGTAAATAATAATATATAGCTATAAATAATATATGTGGCCTGTACTCCACATATTGCCCACCCCGTTAGGCTCGGTACTAACAAACGTTCGTGGAGAACAGGCATACACGCATAACAGACAAATATCAAAAAATATTAAATCAAAAAACTATTTACACAGTGCTCAGCTTGATAAGTTTACGCGAGGGACGCCTAAGAACCCCCCCAACTGTCGCTACGTCCGCTACACGCACTATTCCATGATGGCCAGGAAACACTCTAGTTATACGGCCTTTAGGCCAAAGTCCCCGTGGCATACTTGCATCAGCGATCAAGACTATGTCCTCTACTGACAGATTGGAATATCGTAGCTGAGAGTTCTGGCTTCTGCGTGGTGTCAAACTGGGCACATATTCTTTGAGCCATCTAGACCAAAAGTGATCTGCTAATCTTAGGGCTTTACGCCAGTGCGATCTTCCTAATAAATCTCCATCGTTCAAAGACACGGGTCCAGGCAATCCAGAGGAGCGACCAAGGAGAAAATGGTTTGGAGTAAGTGCAGGTTCATCATCAGCTGCAACTGGAACATGGGTTAATGGCCGTGAATTTATAACGTGTTCTACCTCGGCCAAAAGAGTGACGAGAATTTCTTCCTTAAATGATTTGCTCTTAACCGTAGCTGTCAGCGCTCTCTTGACCGATTGAACCAGCCTCTCCCAACATCCACCCATGAAAGGCGATTGCAGTGGGATAAAATTCCATTCTATGCCGCGCGATACCGCATACTCTGCCACTTCTGTATGATTCATGGTTCTCCACATAGATCTTATTTCACGATTGGCACCGACAAATGCTTTGGCGTTATCAGAAAAAATCTTCTTTGGTACTCCACGGCGTGCCATAAAACGTCTAAGTGCCATTATAGCAGCATCCGCACTCAAATTGCCAACAACCTCTAAATGAACTGCTCTGATGGAAAGACAGGTAAAGAGCGCAATGTATCGTTTTTCGTGTCTCCTTCCAATGGTAACGTCAACTGGTCCAAAGTAATCAAGTCCGGTGTTTAAAAATGGGTGCTGATGGTGTTCTAATCTGCAAACCGGCAAATCTCCCTCAGGTGGAATGGAAGATGAAGCCTTTCTCAGACGACATGCTTGACATCTAGCAGCGATTGAACGAACAGTAGGACGTAAGTGAAAAATCCAAAACCTTTGTCTCAACTCATTCACAACGGTCTCGTTATATCCGTGACAAGCCCAAACGTGATAGTAAAGAATAAGTAAGTGGATGATGTGGTGACGACCATCTAAAATCGGAGGATACTTGACATCATTACAGAGATCAGGCGTAGCAGATACTCTCCCATAAAGACGAAGAAGGCCATCTGAAGTCTGCTTAATGGAAAGTTTTGCAATTTTACTGGATTTAGGTAGTGGTTCCCTACGTTGTAAGGCCGTAATCTCAGCAGAAAATGTCTCCGCTTGACATTGTCGCAATAAATGAAGCTCCGCAGACTTCATGTCTTTACAGAGAAGCGGACGTAGTCCACCCCTATTACGAAAACGATCATTATTATTTACAGATCTTAATTTACTTTCCTTAAGTAAGCGTAAAAACTGATGAGCTCTGGCCGTGGCTCGTAAGAGCCGCAGCCAGCTACTAAAGTTTTTAGAATTTGGAACAACATTAAAATGAAGCCGAAAATCTGCCAAAGAAGTTTGATGACACTTGAGGTCCTGACCAATAACGGGGACCGGCCCTTCGGGCTCTACTGGCCATTCCTCTTCAGGTGACATCAAAAGGGACGGTCCGTTCAACCATCTGTTAAGTTCAACCACACTTTTAGAACTCACGCGAGTGGCGTCATCTGCTACATTAAGGTCGGACGGTATCCAACGCCATTCGCGCGGTAAGGTTGATTCTGAAATCTCTCCGACCCGATTCGCGACGAATGCTTTATAGTTGCGCGCATCACTACGAATCCACGACAAAGCTACGCGCGAATCACACCAAAAGTAACGGAGATTGATTTTTTGTCTCTGCTCCCAAGTGATTGTGTCTGCAAGGCGTACCCCTAGCAAAGCTGCCTGAAGTTCCAGCCTAGCTATAACTGTTGGTTCAAGAGAACTGACTCGCGATTTACTCATAACAAACGCGACTTTTACTGAACCATCACAATATGTAAGTCGCCAGTAAGCAACGCATGCATAAGCTTGATCACTGGCGTCTGAAAACACGTGTAACTCACGACTAACTGGGCCGATAAAATTTGAATAACACCGTGGAATTGATAGTGACTGTAACATTTCAAAACCACGATACCACTCTAACCACTTGACACATTCACTCTGGGGCAATTGGTCATCCCAACCAGTAACTAATCGCCATGTTCGTTGGAATAAAATCTTGCCCTGTGTGATAAATGGACATAAAAAACCTAATGGATCAAAAATTCTCATTAAATCCCTTAAAACTTGGCGTTTAGTGTAGTAATGATTATGAGGCTGTTGAACATTGACATTAAAACTTATCGAATCATTTACAGGGTTCCAAAACAAGCCTAAAACACGGGTAGTTGCTTTGTTTATGTCAAGGTTCACACTAGTTTCACCATCTTTACGCAACACACTTGGAACTAAACGCAAAGCTTCCGGTTTGTTTGATATCCAGGCACGCATTTCGAAACTGCATCTACTGTGAATATCTACGATATCCCCAGCGAGACGTGCAGCGACCTCAATATCATCTACACTACCAATAAAATCATCCATGTAGTGATCCTCAATAATAGCTTTCGCCGCCTCAGGAAATTGCTTTTCGAAATCCCTAGCATTCTTATTTTTTACATAAATAGCAGTGAAAGGAGACGACGCGGCGCTAAAAATAAGAGATGACATCCTAAACTCGTGGACTGGGCCATCAGGTCCATCTGGTTGCCACAGGTAGCGTTGACAATCGCGATCCGCTTCACGAATTTTAATTTGTGGAAACATTTCCTTAATATCTCCTGACAACGCCACCTGCCCTTCCCTAAATCTAATGAGAATACCTACTAAAGATTGAAGTAAGTCTGGGCCTAGCAATAGTAATGAATTTAAACTGACACCGTTGGATTTGGCAGAAGCATCGTGAACGATCCTCAGCTTCCCGGGCTTATTGGGATTCGTCACACCGAAATGAGGCAAATACCAACGCTTACAACCTGAAAGAGCATCATCAGAATCGTTACACTCCTCAGCGTATCCTTTTTTGACATAAGCTTCAATGTTTTCTTTATACAATAACTGATAATTAGGGTCCCGCTTGAATCGTTTATTTAAACCATTCAATCTTGACAAAGCATGATTATAACTATTCGGCATAATTGGTGAATCATAACGCCATGGTAAACCTACCTCAAAACGACCATTCGGAAGACGCTGTATAATCTTGTCTAGAATTTGAATCGCTCTTGTCTCAGAAGCGGTATAAGGTTCACGTAGTTTTAAACCTATTGCGTCTAATCTATAATAATCTCGAATCAACGTATCAAGATAATTTTCCGTTTCAGAAAACACACAATGATTAATGAACTGAATCGGTTTAGTAATCTTTGAAGCTAATCCATACAACACCCACCCGAGGGCCGTACGAGTGGCCACAGGTTAGGAACGATATTTCTCTTTGGCAATTAATAAATGCCAGTCACATATAAGAAGCTTTGGAGTCGCGTTAGAGTATGAAAGAACGTCAATAAGATCACACAAATGTTTTAAAGGTAACAACTCATTAGCAGAAACCGATTGAGACGCTAATGTTAAATCAGGTACAGCTCGGGCTCCCTTAATAGTATGAACCTCAGAGCAATGCTTACCCTTAATATTAAAATCTACTAAACTAGTGGTGACACTACGAGTACCAACAACAGTTGTGATGTTCATGTTTTGTTGAGGTCCACTAAGACCTAACTATCGGCATCAATTATTGAAACGGAAGAACCATCGTCTAAAAGTGCAAAAGTTTCGATATCGGCAGTTGGACCAGATAATATAACAGGTAAAATTTTTAAAAGTATCCGATCTCTTTGCACTTCTTTATTTGAAAATGATACCGCATTGCTAGTACTCGTACTCGGAACTAATTTATTATCAGAAGAAGAATTTATATTTTCGTTTTGACAAGTGACAGTGTCAATATTTGTATTATGTAAATTTGTAATATTCGAATTAATTTCAGAATGTAAAAATTTATGATGATTTTGTTTACAAATATCACATTGTCGAGCTTTACAAAATCTCCAACTATGCTTACCTCTCTTTAAACACCTCGGACAAAGTTTTTCTTGTTTCACCCAAGTGATACGTTCGTCAACTGCAAGAGCTAAGAATTTGAAACAGGTCTTTATACTATGTGGACCAGAACAAAATGCACAGGATATAGGCGATTTTATTTGAAGTGGCACAGATGCATTGGCAGTTGCACTGTATATCTTGAAGGCGCGAAGCGATATGCAGCCTGCGTACACTCGGTGCGCGGCGCCGCAGACGTGGCCGCTGCCCTCGTCCTCTCTGTATGAGATGGGACATACACCGCCTCATATGGCAGCCCAAAACGTGCTTGTTTGTTGGCCTCCTGCAATAAAAATTCAGCAAGCAACTCGAGCTGTGGTTGACCGGGTGTGTGGTATGCCTGAGCGAAGTCACACCATTTGTCATATAATAAAGGTGTTAATTTAGAAATAACGTTATGTAATAATTCAGGTGAATAAATGTATTCTCTATGACCTAATAAATTTATTACATTTACACTGCTTTTTATTTTTGTAGCTAAAGTGAAAATATCATTAGGCTGTCTACCCAACTTAGGTAGGGCTCGAACTGCGGATATCTCCGACAAAATAATTTGCTCAGGTCGAGCAAAACGTAGTTCAAGAGCTTGCAGTACATCCTCTGGACATGAAGAGGTAAGTAATAACACCGAGACTGCCTCTCGAGCATTACCACGTAACGCATTGCGTAGCCTAGACATATTTTCGTGAGGTGTAAAATAGGATTTGCTATCGTTGTAACTCTTTTTGAACAATAACCACTCATGAACGTTACCACTGAAGGTGGCAAGGTCATCAAATGAAGGTCTAGCAGATTTCTTAGCTAAGGTGAAAATAGCATCTGCCAAACGACCTAGTTCACTCACCTGCACAGTTGGTCCCGGTGGAAATACGTGACGCGTATCGTCGTTACGATGCTCACTAACCGGACTCCTCGAAAAGCATCCTTGACCGCACTCCGAGCCAGGTAACTGCTGTGCTCCTGACAGCCTACCCCTCGACGGCGATACAAGCGCTGCATTATTCAATGAGCCAATATGATAGAACGATTCCGATCAAAATCTGGATCGGGCGGTAACGGAACTGATAGCGCTTCCCGCACCGACTCCGCGGAATGTCGTGACCGAACATTTTCACCATTTATAACACTACCTAGATGAAACTGTTGACCTTCGGCCTGGGTTTCCCTCATCGCCGCCTTCGATCTTGTGATCATAATTTTGTGAAAAATAATAAATTTGATAAATGAGGAAACTGGTGCTGAATACAAACCGAGAAGGACCAAAATATGTGGGCGACAAAGGAAACCAGGAATGGAAATTGGAAATATGTATATAATAGTCAAAGGAACTTAGAAGACTGGGGCCGTGAAGGCAAGCCAAAAGGAAACAATAGATACGCGTGTCAATTTCGAATTTGGTAAATAATAATATATAGCTATAAATAATATATGTGGCCTGTACTCCACACATTCATTCAACGGATATTATAAACCTTTTAATTTATGTTTAATTATCAATGAAATCAACAACTATGGAATGTTAAACCGCTACATCATCAAGAATCTATAATTATATACATTTTTATATATGTTTTACATAAACTGATGGCCATTTGGCATGTTTATCGTGATTATATATATATATATATATATATATATATATATATATATATATATATATATATATATATATATATATATATATATATATATATATATATATATATATATATATATATATATATATATATATTCAAGATTTCCTAATACAAGTTGGTAAATAATGTGCAATTAGTATGCATTACTGTTTTAGTGAATGCATATGGCCGTCACGCACACATGTATACACTGTGTATATATTATGTACTTATGTGTGCGCGTGTGTGTGTAATGTCACACTAGTAAAGGCGTGTCCACATATGTTATAATAAAAAAATAATATTGTTTTTTTTTTATTAGTGGTTTAAAACTGGCAAAGAAGTATACGGTTCATTTGATGGTAAGCCCTTACTGTAACCTATGATCGCCTGCAATACTACTGCAATAAAAGTTGAAGAAACCGCTTTGTCTTTTAGCCATGCTGTAGTAGCGAGGAGAAACCTCGCTATAGAGCCTATTCCACTACCATGAAAAAAGGAAAACCAGGGCTACACTAGAGCAAAATGATACAGTTTTAGAATCACAAAATAAGCCACTAATAGGTTTTCACAAGTAGCAACAATATAGATACACGCTTTGCGTACAGCGCCTTGTATCTATATTACTTACAATTACATATTTTTTACCTTGTATATATATTATTACCTTGTATATATATTACTTACAACTTAAAAATACTACGTATTTTTGTAAAATAGGAGTTAGCAAAAAAAATACGAACAAACAAGAGGAACGAAAACAAAAAAAAATCTATACTTATAATAAATCTGTAGAGAGGTCAATTCTGTACATGAAATATATTTGCAAAATAACTATCAGGGGGTGATTAGTGATCGATACTGATGCCAAAAATGCAATCAGTAAAATTTTTATCTATCTGTCTGTATGTTCGTTATAGAAACAAAAACTACTCGACGGTTTTTAACGAAACTTGGTACAATTATTCTTCATACTCCTGGGCAGGTTATAGTATACTTTTCATCACGCTACGGTCAATAGAAGCAGAGCAGTGAGGGAAAATGTGTCTGTTATATCAAAACCACTGAACCGTGAGGGAGGACATAGGCTACTTATTTTACGAAAAACGACGGAAACGCGGACGAAGTCGGGGGCAACAGCTAGTAAAAAATAAAGTAATGATGAAAAAAATACAAAGTGAAAATTAAATGCAAATATTTGATTAAAATATGACCTTCTTATCCACACAATAGTTATTCAAACTGACTATGAATTAAAAATTGCCTATATGCAGAAGGGAACTTCTTTGAAACCGCACTGTACGTGACCATTTAGGTTCAAGCATGTAAGAATGAGTTCCCTGTCGATGGCGAGCTCTTTTAGCATTTTTTTTTTATACAACTTAGAATGGCAAACAAGCTGACGGTCCACCTGATGGAAAGTGGTAACCGTCGCCTATAAATATGAACAGTACCATGGACATAACAGAGTATACTGTTTCGCCAATGATACCCCCCATGCGTTGCCATTCCTGAAGACTCAGGTGTTATTCCTCTGTACCCTGTAAATTCACGCTATATCCCACCCTTCACACCGAAACACAGCCATGCAAACACAACTGCTTCACAGTTGAAACACGAATGGGACAGAGGTACTCATGCAATCGACTTTTGTACAAAGTCTCCCTCTGGTAAAATTGGTAATCTGGTAGCATTGTACAATGATAAAAGAGAACACAAAATAATATAGAAATAACAGTGAAAGCTGGGAATAAAATTGATAGAATGATTGAAAAAGGATATTGCAGTTACAGCTTAAGCCAAATGTACGGTTGCGAAAGTTGGGTATGTAACAAAGAGAACGAAAGAAGATTAATGCGAACGATACGCGATCCAAGAGTTTGCTATTACAGTACAAATAATAGTATCGACAATCCGTAACTAACAGGCGGTTTTGAGCCCTTAAGCCTAAGACAAGACTTCGCCTCTTTTCGAGTGTTCTACCGCTTGTATAAAGGATTGTGATCTTAGGAATTGTTCGAAATGATGTCCACAGCCACCTTCTATCATCGCATCATTGCTATTTGCTCTCTCTGTGTTTATCGTAACGGTTGACTGGTAGAGAATGCCATCAGGCATCAAGTCCGCCCTGTAGACATGTTTTAATGTACGCAAAAGTATAAATAAAAAAATATTTTTTTTTTTTCTTAAATATCTCCCATGTAAGTTCAGACATAGTGTCAGTTACAATTTTATTATGTTCGTAAAATAATTTATTATTGTTTTCCACAAAAAAAAAAAAACCTACTTTAATTGCGTCAAAACCTGTTACTTTAAAAACTATTGTCTATGATAAAATATCTATTGGACCAATTCATAGGTATATATATACATATATCCTTTCAGATAAAAAAAGGACAAGACAGTTGTACAAACTGA